CAGCTGAACATGAGAGGTTTTTGGACCAATTTTGTGTTCTCCATTCTTTAAGCACCGGTTTGAGCACCGTTTAAGCACCGGCACCGTTTCAAAAGTACCGGTTTGGCACCGGTATCGGATAAAACCTAAACGATACCCATCCCTACTTGTACTACACATGCAAAGCTACGCACCATGACGGCTTCGTTCATGGCTGTGTTAAAATTCAGTGACTTTGGCTCCTCCCACAGGAGATCTGAACAGATATTACCATTAGAAAGACTGTAAGTACATTTACCTACATGTTTATTGTAAATGGTGTTCACCAGCAGTGCAATAACACAACTAGCTCACATGTTTTACTAGTTTGGCTGATGATTGGCTCTTTTTAGAGGCAGTGGTGGGACAACCGCCATCTGGAGCCATTATGGAGTCCTCCCAAAAACTTCTATTAGTGATTCTTTGAGTCTCTCTCTTATACAGTGTTTAGTAGAAGCACTTGAATCTCCATTGGGAACAAACTGAAAGCCAGAGGAAAAACAACTCATTGCTTATGTTTTTATTTCGATGAGTCCCTGGATTTTTTTCTAGAGAAGAAAATGATGGAGTCACAATAGAAATGAAATACAATAAAACAGGCAATAACTAACCTCACCTGAATAATGCTGGGAAAAACTGAAATGTCTAAATGCTTTGCAACCCTTTGTAAAGTAAAAAAAGAAAAATTATACATTGTGTATTGTGTGTTTTCTAACGGTTTAATACATTACTTACTGTGTGAAGAAACCTCCAAAAACAAATGAAAATCCAATTTATATGACACAGAGAAAGCTATGAGGTTTGTAAACACATCCGGTTTATTAAACTCAATGACTAAAAATGTTACAGTTTAGTTGATCTCAGCACTGCACTGAAAACCTACGAAGCACAAGGTAGTTGACTTTAACAGCAGATGCTGCGACACAGACATATAATTAGTGTCAATTTTGCTTATTGCTCTTTGTTTATCTATAAAATGGTTGAAAGAGCTAGTAAGTAATATCCGTGTCGTGTCTTTTGTCCAAGCAAATGCCTCAAAGTTAGCAGAAGTTTACATTCATACACGATCAAGAAAAGTGATCGACTAAAGGATTAAATAGCCTGAAGAATGGCTGGTTACATGTTGGTTTGTTAGGTTATGTGTGTTTTATATGCTTCTTTTCCTCCAGTCATTACAATCCAGTGTAACAGCTGTGAGTTCACTGTGGCTGCAGCTGCTTCTCCACACTGATGAAGGACTCTTACAGCCTCTTTAAAACCTATAGCTGTGAAGCTTTTGCTTTTATTTTATTTTTTTGGTGACGCAGTCATGAAATGAAAAAAGACATGCGGAGTGAAGAGATGTGCTACAGAAGATATTTTAGTGTTAAATACTGAGCTTTATTATGAAAAACTGAAGTTGTTGATCTTTGCCACGTCTTTCTTGTGAAAAGCAATCAGTCCTCCCACCTGACTCCCTCACAATGAGCTGATGTATTTTAAATTTAGAGTAACTTTATTTGTTAAATTTATGCAATTTTAGCTTCATATTATGAGAACTTTATAAATTATGTTCCTTCACATGTGGTGAATCAACCATTTCCCTATATTTTTGAAACCCTCACAACTTTGTAAGTGTGGCAGAGAACCACATAAAAACACATTTAAGCTAAAAGTAAAAAGAGCTGTCAAAAACTGCAAGAAAATCCGTTTTATAGTCTAAATCCAAATTCGTCTAAATCTCATGTTTGTTCAGATTTGATCAATATCGTGGGATAGATCATAGTTTCAACAGAGGAACAGACACAAGCTTTCATAGCCTGGATGTCAGATCTGTTTTCTGATATTTCACCAAAGAAAACTTAAAAAAGTTCAGTTTAGGTCAATTTTCCCAGCTTGTATCTGGTCAGAACCATTGTGGCATCGGAAAGGTCTCTCCTTTTTGACATCAAGCTTATCTTCTAGTAATTTCTTCTATCATAACAGGCCATCAGTAGGATACGTAATCCCTGTTAACTACATTCACCTTGGGTTAGCTGACTATAACTAGAGCTTTGATTTTAGATAATAGCTATACAGAAACCTATTTTAGAGGTTTCTTTTTAGAGGTTTCTTTATAGTTCTTTATAACTCATTGGCCGTAGCTTATATTTAAAAAAGGCTTAAAACTACAAACTCCAAGGATGGTGAAACATTGAGGCGGTGAAGAATAATAACAGTGTCTTTTAAGCTAGCCCGCTGGTTAGTTTAAGGCAATACAAAACATTCAGTTTGTGAGCCCTGGCTTAGAAACTGCTTCTCACATGTTGAAGGTGTTTAATTATTATTTTTCTTTTTAAATTGGTTTTAAATTTTAAATTAAAAGACAATATCCAGTCTTATGGGAAAGCACAGCTGGCTCTGCATCTGGCTGCAGGGATTTTATTGAGTGAAGAGCATTAGTGTGGTCCAGCAGTTGTTGGGTGATGATTAGCTTTTTGCTTCATCCCAAAAGTGTTAGATTGGGGAGGAGAAAGACCAGTTAAGCTCATAAAACTAAAACTATTTTTATATTTAATTACCTGCTCTGTGACTCTACTGAGCCGCAGACTTGGTCCAGAGAGTTCTGCAGCCAAATGGGTTAAGTGACCCCCCCTGTTTTCACATGCTTCCCCAGAAGTTCTCGCTCCAGCAGCCTCAAACAAGGTAAAGCCTAATTAAACCGCCAAATGAGAGCTGAGTTATGAAAGGAGTAGGGGGGTGGAGGGAAGCTCTTATGTGCATTCCTGTTATTTGGTGGTGGGGGCAAAAAAAAGAGAGCCTCTGTACCCGAGTCTTGGGTACAGCCTGAGCTCTGTGTTCTTTTGAGATAAAATGGAGAGGCTTTGACGCATCCATTTTCTTAACCACTTGTACAATTCAGGGTCACAGAGACTAGCAGCCTTTCCCGGCTGTCACAGGTCAAGGCAGGGTAAACCCTGGATGGTTCGCAGGGCCAACACAGAGAGGCAGTCAACCTTTTACGCCTGTAATGTCTTTGGACTGTGGGAGAATGCTGAGTACCTGGACAAGGAGAACCCACACAGGGACATGGAGAACATGCAAACTCCAGAAAGGCCCCAGGCGAACGGAAGGTTCAAACCAAGAACCTTGTTGCTGTGAGACAACAGTGCTAACCACTACTCCCACCGTGCCAGCAGCATTTGGTGCTGGGAAGGGGAAATTTAAAAATTAGTTGTGTTAGAAAATCAGTCAGGGAGAAAAGTGAATTTCAAAGTAAATCAGAGGTCTCATACGATCCATAATATTCTTATTAAAATATAAATATGTCTGTATTTTAAAATATAGATACATTATTGTTATTATTTTCTCTTTTTGAGTAGGTATATGTACAAAAATCTAACAAAACAAAAGCAAAAAAACGTTACCCACATTCTCCCCTAACTGAATCGGGTTTGTCTGGCAGGGCCCAGTTGACCAGTAACCGTTGGCATTCCTTTGTGGTGGCTTAAAGAAAGCATTTGTTCACAGCAGCGAGCAATGGCTGGATGTGACAGAGCAATGCAGAGCAGGGCAGAGGATCCTCAGTGAGCAGGAGGTTGGCTGCAGAAACACAGTGATGTGGTCGGCTGGGTTAATGGCAGCTGACAGCTCCTTCAGTTACAGGAATGAGGACATGGGCTGTTTAAAAACAAATTGTCTTGTTTTCAGTCCTAATGGTGAATGTTGTGTGTAGGTTTACATTACCATCACCTGATATTATGTAAGTAAGATGCTGTTACTGGGAGACAGAATCAGAATGTTTTTGCTCCTGTAAAATCTTGACTTCTACTGGTTTTGCTTCAGTGTTTGATTTGCAGATTGATAGCATGTCTGCGTCAGTATGCTGAAATCTTGGACACTGCGAATCCTCCCAGTCATCAGTTTTATTATATCACTGGATTTCTCTCATAAGTTGCAACCAGTTCACCTTGCAGTTCCCAGTGAATGCACAGCAGAAGGAATGGGAAGAGACTGCAGTGTTTTTCAAGCTTAGTAACAGTGGTCAGCACATGCACAGAT